GTTTTTGTAAGAAAAATATCCATATTTCAAATGTAGTAAACACTTCTCTCTCACTTCCAGTTTTTGTCATGCGCGGAAGCCATTCCGGCGGATGACGTAGTACGTCGGCGTTGCGTGATTAGTGAAAAAACGCATGCATTTACTACAGGAGGCCTTTATTCATCCCCCGGAGCCGTCTGCGGCACGTTTTATTATGGATGCGCGTGCTTTATTTGACAACTTGTGGACTGTTCAACTGCAACACCCGCTGACTGCAATGATAGAGCTTGGAATAGCCAGGACAATTTTTAATATAACTCCGACTGGATTCGTCTGAAAGAAGAAAGTCATATACACCTAGGATGCTTCGAGGGTGAGTAAAACACAGCCTAATTTTTGGGTGAACTAACCCTTTAAAGCAGACAAAGACCACTTATAACAACAATGACAACAACAATAATAGTAATAATGAAAATATTTTTTCTTAAACAGTCATAAGATCAGATATCTTACTATTTTAGTGTGAGAAAGTGAAGCAAATTATTAAGTTATTGAGTGAACTGTTATAATGAATCAAACTGAATCGTGAACACATTTGACCAGTTAGATCAAAAGAGTGATACATTTTGTGAATCTGGTATCACAAGTTCTGATTCTAAACAGCTGATTATCACAAAAAAGGATTCTCGGGTCGGTATACAGTAATCTTCATTGACATATAAGGATTTATCAATGATATTTTACTGGGGCACAGCTGTATTTTTCTGGGGCTCGTGTCCCAGTAAAAAGGGTCTGGGGTCACTGCTTGTTTCTTTTGACTGAAACTGTCTTTTTTTCATAATCAGCAATCAAAGTGAACTGCCAGGGCTTCTGTGGAGTGACCAGCAAATCAAATGACACAGACTGGACAGAGGAGGAGCAGTACTTCAGCAGCTCAGTCTCAATAGCAGATAAAGGTACACAGGTGTCATGGTCTCGCTCACAGATTAAATGGTAGGATGCTTGTTCAAGTCCCTTACAGTTTCTCTCCGTCTGTTTCTCAGGCACTCTGAAAGATGGCGAGCACAGTTTTCCCTTCAAGTTTCTCTTGCCAGGTAAGAGACACTTTTATGTAATTGAGCTGACCTGTCGCTCCACATTCCTTCAACACATGTCAGAGATTAACCACTGTTTACGTTTATCCACGGCAACAGAACAACATTAAAAAACCCTCAAAATATCAACTTTGTATAACCAAATACAACCTATGTGAGTCAAACAATATAGGTACTGTTTTTATTGAGTATTGTCCTAGGTAGGTGAATGTACATTACCTTTCAAAAGTAATTTTTTTTATGTTAACATTAAATGTTAAAATACAGTAAAAAAATGCTAATATTGTGAAATAATATAGCAAAAAGAACTCTTTTCTATTTTAATATGTTTTAAAATGTAACATTCTGGTGATGGCAAAGCTGAATTTTCAGCAGCCGTTACTCCAGTCTTCAGTGTCACATGATCCTTCAGAAATCATTCTAATATGCTGATTTGGTGCTCAAGAGACATTTCTTATTTCAGTGTTGAAAACGCTTGTGCTATTTAATATTTTTGTGGAAACTTTTTTTCAGGGTTCTTTGATAAATAGAATGTTTAAAAGAACAGCACTTATTTAAAGTAGATTTTTTTGTAACGTAAATTAAAAAAGGTTTGAAAGGTAGTGTGAATTCTGTTACTGTCAGTTAATTTTCATACAGCTAGAGGGTGAACTGCATTCCTTCATTTTTGTTTGTTTCATTCACTCTTTTCACAATGTGAAGCTAAGACACACGCTAGCCCATCTAGCCTATCGCTGCTCTTATTGTGTGGAGCTGCTCAGCTGCAATTTGAACCCTCCGTCTGCTGTTCATCTATTATCTGAGACTTTTCAGCTCCCCCTAACAGAACAACGGCACTCTTAGAGAATCGTGCTTCTCGTGCTGTAGCATTGGCTTTTGTGGTTTTCAGCCTTTCAAAAAAATATTTGAGCTTATTGGATAATGCACCCTTTTGCGTGAAAAGAACATTGTTCTAATGCAAAAGTTCAAACTTTGGTTATGAGAAGTAACTAAATTATTAGCATTGTCCTCTTTTTTTTTCTTTTTCATTCATTTATCTGAATACACAAGATACACAAACCTCTCTAATCCTCTCTTTTGTAGCTGCTGCACCAACATCATTTGAAGGGCCTTATGGACAGATTATATACAGAGTTCGGGCTTTCATAGACACACCTCGTTTTGCAAAAGACTACAAGATAGAGAAGCCATTCTCTATGAAGAACACAGTCAACCTGAATGAAATACCTGGTATACAGGTAAATGTGCTACACAGACCTCCATAGGCTAAACTGGCAAAAAGAAAACAACCACACATTTCAATATCCTTAATTCTGATATTTTATATGCTAACTGTGCTGTGTCGTTTACTGCGGTGATTTATATTACTATGATTTTTTATATTATCTTCGTGCAGGAACCTAGCTCATCTTCTGTAACCAAGAATTTCTCATACATGCTTGTGAAGAATGGGACAGTGGTGCTGAAAGCTAAGAGCGACATGCGAGGATATATCGCTGGAGAGATCATTAAAGTGTTCGCTGAGATTGAAAACAAATCTGATAAGTCAACAGGTCATGTGGTTGCCAGTCTAATGCAGGTAAGATGACACTAACTACATTAGATTATATTTTAAGACTATATGTTTTCGGTTAGTTAAAAGAATATAGGGTCAGTAAGACTTTTACATTGTTACAAAAAAAATGATATTTCATATAAATCCTGTTCTTTTCAACATTACATTGATCAAAGAATCCTGAATATTAAGCAGCACAACACTGATAATGAGTAATGTTTCTTGAGCACCAAATAATGGTTTCTGAATGATAATGTGACACTGAAGAAGTAATTATTAATAGTTGTGATTGAAAATGCAGGTACACCTTTGTTCATTATCATGATATGATCCTCACTATTGCTCATCTCTTCATTTTAGAAAGTTACGTATAATACCAAGAAGCCGACATATGACTTGCGGGCAGTAGCGGAGGTTGAAGGACCTGGAGTTAAGGGTGGACAAAAAACTGAATGGAAAGAGCAGATTATTGTACCTTCTCTTCATCTGTCCACCCTGACTGATGGAAACCTCATTCAGATCTGCTACTACATTCAGGTGAGTATTGTTGAGTAAGTTATTGTTACACATTACATTAACATAACAATGTAATGTAAAACGTGACACTTTTCTTTCCTGTGAGTATTTTTCTCCATTGTGGAGCGTTTAATAATATCTGGTTGTACGTAATCACTGGGAACATGTATATCAGAGATATGCATTTTATCAGAAGTTCATGCAAATTGCATTTGGTATTTCCTGCTTCCTTCCTCTCATTGAATCTAATCTGCATGTTCATCTCTGCTTTTCCAGGTCTGTTTGAAATACCCAGAGGCGTCATTAACTCTGCCTATTTACATTGGAAGCATTGCAGTGGATCCAACTCTGCCTTCCCCCTCCCGGGCAGTTCCACCCATGCCAGCCCCACGTAACAACCCCACCCCTGCCCCTGGCCCTTCTCCTGTTGCTGCTCCCGCCGAATCTGCCCCTCCCAGCCTGCCACCACGCACAACCCCAAAACCTGCACCCAAACCCAGGCCTCGTAGCTCCTACACGTCCCCCAGTGCGCCTCCTTCTGATCTGTACCCAGAGCTCCCAGGTGTGGCTAACTACAATGGGGAAATGCCAAAAAGTCCACTGCATGAGTCTAGTTCCCAGGCTCCAGTGTCTCCCAATGCATTCAGCTATGCTCCTGGACTCAGCTTCAGACAGAGACAGAGCTCCCTTGGCCCATCAGCACCCCCCTTCAGTTCATCCACCAGCCCTGAAGACACAAATCAAATGTCCTCTTCAGCGAGCTTGCCTCCAAACTATAGGAGTTCAGCATATCCACATGGTATGGCATAATCATTCCACTGAAACATTTGAGTGATAAAGGAAGGTAAAGGATGGATCACATCATATAAAATATATAATATATGTATGTATATATATATATATATATATATATATAGAGAGAGAGAGATTAATTAAAATTAGTTAATATTTAAAATTTCAATTTTATATATATGTATATATATGTATGTATATATATATTTCATTAAAATGAGTTAATATTTAAAGTTGATTTTTAAAGGGGTCCTATTATGCTCTTTTACAAAGTCTTGATTTTGTTTTGGGGGTGTACTAGAACAGGCTCTCATACTAGGTTGTTCGAAAAACACATTATTTTTCACATATTTTACATTATTACAACTAGGCCTGGGCGATACAACTGTATCGATATTCATCGATGTTACACCTTCTTCGATAACGATAGAACATTTTTTCGATATAGGCACGTGCTATGAGTGACGCAGACAGCACACACAAACACATGCTGAATTGAGTGCTGTG